TATGGAATCTAAAAAATAAACTAATATATATAACAAAACAGAAATAGACTTACAGATATAGAGAACAAACTAGTGGTTACCAATGAGGACAAGGTAGGGGATGGGCAAGATAGCGGAATATAACCAAAAGATAGAAGCTACTATGTGTACAATTAACAGGCAACAAGGGCCCCTTCTTGTGCAGCACAGGGACATAGAGCCGCTATTTTGCAATAACTTGACGTGGAGGATAAGCTGTGAAACTACTGAACCACTATGTTGTACATCTAAAACTAACATAATACTTTAAGTCAACTCTACTTAAATTCTAAAAAGTTTTTTTTTAATCCTGAAAAATTCTGGAAACAGTGACTCTTGCACACTTCTGCAAGTAAAATGACTGAGGGTTAGTAAAGAGGTCAGCCTAAACAGGTTTTGAACAGGTTGACTAGAGGCACCAAAGAAAAAGGTTCGCTGTTAGACTGGAAACCACCTGAGCTAGTCATGGAGCTCACGTGACAGCCTGGCCAGGCCCTCCTGCCACTCCACTTGGGCTGTGAGAGGTTGGACTATTTCAGTACTTCCCTTATCAGAATTCCTGAACTCCACACTTAGGATTAAAACAAGGCCTCTTAGAATATCACTATTAAGAATGGAAACAAAACATGTGCTTCCTGATGTGATGCACTGTGAAAGATACAGTATGATTTACCCAATACTTTTGCAAAAAATATATAACCTAGATCTAACCATGAGGAAGCACCAGAAAACAACAGGATTTGTGAGCAAGAAAATGATAAATGCAGGTTGTTTGAGAACAGTGAATCCTGCTTGCACACTTTAGGGTCAGTGTAAACAGGTTGGTAACGAATCATTTAGTGTAGAGGGTGTCTTTCAGTGGGCTCACTAGAGCTATCAAAATTTACAATGTGAGCTGTTTATGGGTTCTCTGGAAATCTTGGGAATATAGCTATGGAGCATAAGTGGCAGGTTATTTCTGTTATGTCCACTTGTATGCTTCAGTTTAATATACATCTTCACTATTTAGAGCATCAGAATTTTTCACTAGACCCTAAGGAAAAACTTTATTACAGCCTTCTCGGGTCCTTCTGAAGCACATGTAAAATCAAGACTCTAAAAAAGGCTCTCATCTTATAGCCTCGGCACCTAAAACGGTGGTTGTGATTATAACTGGAATTGCACTGAGTTCTGAGAAGACTGACCACAAATGTGCAACCCTGGACTTTGCTAGCCAAGAACATAGTGTCTTCACTTATTCAGCTGTTTTTCCTTCCTCCTTCTACCCTTTTCATTAATGTGAAGCAGGATGTAATAAATTAATATTTTTATAATCCCTAAGGCAAAACAGAGGGGGAAAATCTCTTTAAAGTATTGTTAAAATGATAAATAAAAATTTATGTGACATAAAATAATGAAAGAGGAAAAGACCAAAAAAGACATGATAGGAAACAAAGCAAAATGGCAGACAAATCCAATCATATTGATAATTACATTAAACTAGAATGGGCTAAATCCCCCACTCAAAAAGCAGAAATATTTGCACAGCCGAAGTGGAGCGGCAGGAGGGCCTGGCCAGATGCAAAAGACTACACAGAATATTATTCTATCAATACTTAAATGTCCAGAAAATGTGACAGTGCAGACAGACAGCAGACTGCCTGGAGCTGGAGGCAGGAGTGATGACAGACTTTGTAAAGTGATGGAAAAGTTCCCAAGCTGGCCTGTGCTGATGGTGGCACAACTCACAAGTTTGTTAAAAAAGAAAGTAAACTGTACACTCACATTTTTATAGTATGTAACCAACTAAGTGCATCTTAAAAAATTGCAGTTCAATAGCACTAATACCTAAATTCTCTAAAATAAAAATTGTTGACAAAGATGGAGAGCAACTGGAAGTCTCAGACATTGCTGAAAGGAATGGAAATTGGTTCAGTCACCTTGGCAACTTGAACTTACACACACGCTATCACTTAGCAATTTCAATCCTAGATATATACTCAATAGAAATGCACATATGTATGCACCAAGTTATGTACAATTTTCATAGTAGCCATATTTGTTGTAAGTTCAAACAGGGAACAATCAAAGTACATATCAACAGGATGGAAAACTGAAATTAAGGTTTATTGATACAATGGAACTAGAACCACTGGCAACATGAACACATCTTACACTGAGTCCAATTACAGTTGTCACAACAGCAGTTATCCTTGGGGAGGATGCAAACGGGGGCTTCTGGAGTGTAACTAAGGCCTTTTCCCCCTCTGGCTACTGGCTTAATGGATGTGTTCTATTTGATGAATCTTTTCACACTGTGGATATGCATGGCTTTGGTATGAATGGAATGCTCTACATCAATAAAATGTTTACTAAAATTACAGAAAAATATTTGGAGTAATAGAAAACTTCTTGAAGGGACTATATGAGCAGTGAAATTTTGTAATTACTTTAATACTTTATGTATCAGCTTATTTAAAAATATTGAGGATGTAAGTATGTCATCAGAAAAATCAACAATGCTACTTTTGAGCATGGTACTAGTAGGTATTTCTATTCTGGCAACATGTTAGGAAAAAAATTGTCTTGTCCCTTAACAGAATAACAAATACTATGGATTCATGACAAATTAAATGTATTCTAACTCCTCTTAAAACACACATGCACACAAGAGAATGAGACTAAATTCAATCGTGGAGAAAAATAAAAGCATATGGGAAAGTATAATAGAGACGTGAGATGCTAGAGTCAACGTTTTGGTTCAAATCTCATGCATCGCCACATCCTAGCTGTGTGCCCTCAGCAATTTACTGAGGCTGCAAGCATCCTATGTTTAGCATAAGGCCTGGTATGTGACACAAGCTCTTATCAATACATATATAACTAGAATTACTTCCAAGTTCTGAAAATTAGAATGACAGAGCAACTACTCTTCTTAGATATTGAATACTGCATTAGTTTGCTAGGGCTACCGCCACAAAGTAACAAAGTGGTTTAAACAACAGATACGTATTTTCTCAAAGTTCTGGAGGCTACAAGCCCAAGCTCAAGGTGTCAGCAGGTTTGGTTTCTCCTAAGCCCCCTCTCCTTGGCTTACAGAGATGGGTGCCTTCTTGCTGTGGCCTCACCTGGTCTTTGCTTTGGTCATGCACATACCTGTTATCTATATTTCCTCTTATTAATAAAATGGTCATATTGGCCCACAGATAACCTCATTTAACCTTGATCACCTCTTTAAAGACCCTATTTCAAACAGAGTCAAATTCTGAGGTACTGGGGTTAGGACTTCAACATGTCAATGTGTATAAAGAATAGAGAACAGGTCATTTAGTAACTTAGTTTTGGAAAATTTTTGGAAAACTGGAATAAGTTTTAAGCATAACCATAAGTCAAAAAACATTCACAACTTTTTATAAAAATCCCACCAGTAAAAACCTGTAAAAATATTTATCAAATTTCTACAAAAGGAGAAAAAGTAGGCCTCCTAAGCTTAATTGTAAAAGAAGAGGATGAGGGGAAAATCACACAGAAAATAGTAATTGGTTTAACTACATACAATAAAAATTTCTGTATGCAAAAAACTTGAGCAGCAAACGGGTGGACAATATTGGTTATAATGGACCATTATTTGTTATAAAAGCTTACACAGATAATAAAAACCCTTATCTTCAGAATTGAAAGAAGTAATGACAGGAAAGAATAAAGAAAAATGTAAAAAGTTTTTAACAAAAATGTGAAGCAAAGTAGAACAATGTTCAGTATCACTTGTAATCAAAGATTTGTGTTGTTCAGTCACTAAGCCGTGTCCCACTCTTTGCCACTCTATGGCTGTGGCATGCCAGGCTCCTCTGTCCTCCACTATCTCGAGTGTTTGCTCAAATTCATGTTCACTGAATCGGTGATGCTATCTAACCATCTCATTCTCTGCCGCCTTCTCCTTTTGCCTTCAATCTTTCCCAGAATCAGGGGCTTTTCCAATGAGTTGGTCTTCACATCAAGTGGGCAAGTATTAGAGCTTAAGCATCAGTGCTTCCAGTGAATATTCAGGGTTGATTTCCTTTAGGATTGACTGGTTTTATCTCCTTGTAGTCCAACTGATTCTCGAGAATCTTCTCCAGCACAATTCAAAAGCATCAATTCTTCAGTGCTCAGGCTTTTTTATGGTCCACCTCTCACATCTGTATATGACTACTGGAAAAACCACAGTTCTGACTATTCAGACCTTGGTTGGCAAAATGATGTCTCTGCTTTTTAGTATGCTGTCTAGGCTATCATCTTACCTTCCAAGGATCAAGTGTCTTTTAATCTAATGGCTACAGTCTATTATATGCTTATAAAAGAAGGTTCACTGCAGAATTTTCTGAGTGTGGATAAGAGAAGACTTTACTAAGAGTAAAGTAATGCCTGCATATGTGTGTATGTTTATGTGTGTGTTGGGGGAGGCTCAGTTGTGTCCAGCTCTTTGTGACCCCATAGACTGTGGGGAGCCAGGTTTCTCTGTCCATGGAATTTTCCAGGCAAGAATACTAGAGTGGATTGCCATTTCCTATTGTTCCAATATTGCCATTGCCATTGTTCCTTCCTAACCCAGGGATCAAACCGGCATCTCTGTCCCATCTGGGAAGCCCAAGATTTGTGTATGTGTGCTTAAAATCCTTGCAAAGTGCTATTATCCCTTACTGCCAAGGGGCGAAGAAACTGCCAGAGCTAAATTAATTCCAACTTTGTGTCTAAAACCATGAGCTCTTGGCAATCATTCCTCCAACTATTCTGCTTCCGGAAAGTGGAAGCAGCGTGTGGTTGGGACTGTTTTGCACAGATTGGTCACATCACTGTATAGGTAATGGAAAAACTCAGCCCATGCAGGACACCTGCTTGGGGAGGATGTGGGGAGACAGCTGGCCGGAAGGACACCTCTCAGTGTACCAGTTGCCCTGGACCCTGGCTCCTCTGGTGAATTACAGCCCCAGCAGAAGGAATGAATGCTGATCACCTCAGCTTGCATGTTGAAATGCCCTCCCATGAAAGATGGCGGCAGCCGTGCGACAGGATTTGGCCCAGCTCATGAATTCGAGCGGCTCTCATAAAGATCTGGCGGGCAAGTATCGTCAGATCCTGGAAAAAGCCATTCAGTTATCTGGGGCAGAACAACTAGAAGCTTTGAAAGCTTTTGTGGAATCAATGGTAAATGAGAATGTCAGCCTCGTGATCTCTCGCCAGTTGCTGACTGATTTCTGCACCCATCTCCCTAACCTGCCTGATAGCACAGCCAAAGAAATCTATCATTTCACCTTGGAAAAGATCCAGCCTAGAGTCACTTCATTTGAGGAACAGGTTGCTTCCATAAGACAGCATCTTGCATCCATATATGAAAAAGAAGAAGATTGGAGAAATGCAGCCCAAGTGTTGGTGGGAATTCCTTTGGAAACAGGACAAAAACAGTACAATGTTGATTATAAACTGGAGACCTATCTGAAGATTGCTCGGCTATATCTGGAGGATGATGATCCAGTCCAGGCAGAGGCTTACATAAATCGGGCATCGTTGCTCCAGAATGAATCAACCAATGAACAGTTACAGATACATTATAAGGTATGCTATGCACGTGTTCTTGATTACAGAAGAAAATTCATTGAAGCTGCACAGAGGTACAATGAACTCTCTTACAAGACAATAGTGCATGAAAGTGAAAGACTAGAGGCCTTAAAACATGCTCTGCACTGTACCATCTTAGCGTCAGCAGGACAGCAGCGTTCTCGGATGCTAGCTACTCTTTTTAAGGATGAAAGGTGCCAGCAGCTTGCTGCTTACGGAATCCTAGAGAAAATGTACCTAGAATGGCACTACAAACTCAGGTTTGCAGCAAAATAATCAAACCACTATACTTCATCAAGACACAGGGGGGAAAGGGCAGAGATTTAAGGATATTGGCTTCTCTTGAACATTAGCAGCAGAAGCAGGACTGTGCTCACGCTCCTGACAACACTCATGCAACAGGATGCTGGGGCACCTGTGGACCTGGTGCCTGGGCCTTCAGGAATTCCTCAAGTTGTTCCATCTTCTCAGCTGGATAAGGAAAAAGGCTGGGTTTCAAACTCCTCCTCCAAGGGGGAAGGGGTGTGCTGGCAGTATCATTTCTCTGGGTGGAAGGTCTGAACCTAGGATCTGGAATCAGTGGGCTGAGGGAGCCGAGGCCAGCACCAGCAGTAGGTGTCTGAATGCATGTCTCAGCTTTACTTTCTCAGGGTCCTGCTTGGACTCCTCTCTCAAGGGAGGCCCAGGGATCACCACCAAAATGGAGCTGGGACACTGCAAGGAGTTCTGGGAAGACGAGAGGCTGGAAGGAAGTCATGTAAGGCTAGGCGGTTCCCCCTGCCTTCCGCCCAGGCGTGTTTGCCAAGCCCCTCACCTCGGGCGCGCTGCTCCCGGAGCACTGACGCCTGGCTCAGAAGCACGCTCTTCACCTGACGCTGGACTGCCGGCCGCGCGAAAACCGTGACTTCGACCACGTTCCCAGCGTCAACAGCGTCCACCATCAGCAGGGCCTGGCTCATCCACTCCATTTCTGGAACCAAGGAACGGTCTGGGCCTAAAAACGAAAGGAAAGCCAGAGAAGAGTGCAGGTGAGGGGCGGGAGACGCTGGCCACGAAGGGACGAGACGGCTTGGGACCCGCAGCGGCTCGGGGCCCTCAACGGCTCTGAAAGGCCCGCTAGGCCCAGGGTCGCACACCAAAGATCGAGTCGGCCAGCCACGCCTCCAGGAAGAACACCAACGGATTCCTCAAGTCCTGCGCAGGAAACCACCATGGCCGGATGCGAACCCGCGGCGAGGGACGCGGGAACCCCAGCAGCCTGTCCCCAACGGCCTCTGAATAGCCAGCATCGTCGGTCATGCTCCAACCACAGGCGAGAAGAGCAGCTCTCGCGGGACTCGGGACTCGCGCGAAGCCTGGGCCCTTTACTGCTCCCGGCAGGCCCCGCCCCCTCCAGTGCGCATGCGCCCAGCCACATCCGGCCCAGGGGTGCAAGCGCGCGGGTATCCTGGCGCCTGGAGCTGCCGCATATGTGCAGCGTGATCCCCTAGCATCTTCTCAGCGTGAAGCCCTGGAGACTCTAGGAGGGGCCCGCCAGGCGAGTAATGGCCGACCCCGAGGCGTCCGTAGTTCCAGATCGTGTGGTTGCATGAAGTGGGGTCCAGGCCAGGCCCAGTCGGGTCAGGCCGCGGGCGGGCTCCTAGAATCCGCATCTTCTCATACTCTGGTTTGTTGCCGCTTTAGAATCATTCCTACAAGTGCGTCGTGTCTAAAATGCAGTCATCAGACATGGTCGTTCCAAAAGATGTAGCAGGTGGAGCCAAAAGTCGTTTACTTCCAAAATCCTCAAACAGCGAGTACTGATAAACATTTCTTCTCAGTGTTCTTAATTTTAGTTAAAGTTTTCAATTGTGAAGATTTCTCACAGTTTAAAAAGTTTAACGCTCATGCACCCCCTCCCCTCGCCCCATTTAACAAGATGTTAATTTTTCCCGCATTTGCCTTCTCTCTTGTTTAAAACAGATGCCACTAAAGACCTTTCCTCTCTCCCCACAGGAAATTATTGTCCTGAAGGTTGTGTGAGTAGCCTGCGCGTGCTCCTGTTCTTTCCATAGTGCATTTCGACAAGTATTGTTTGGTAATGGTTGTATAGACAGCATCTGCTGTACAAACGACTGTACACGTACCATTAGTTCGGATGTGTTTGTTTTTTACATCTTTTTAATGGAAGATGTTGATCATCTACGTAAGGGGGATGGTATTAATGTACTGAATTCCCTCATTCGCATCATCTAGTCCTTAACAGTAATCCAAGAGGAGATACTGAATCTAGCTTTATTGGATACTTTTATTTCAGTTTAATTTTCAAAATGAACATAATAATACATGCATATTGTAAAAAAAAAAAAAAGCCTTGAGGATATAAAGTAATATGGGTAAGTTCTCCCTTTCATATATTCTCCCTCAGTCTTACTACTTTTCAGTCATGTATGCTGTGAATGTCTTCTAGTTTAAATTGTTTTTTTCACCTTTTTAAAGGTGTTTTTTAGGAATACAGTTCTTAATTTTAATATAGTCAGATTTAGCAGTCTTTAAGGTAAGTTCATTCTGTCTTTCTTAAGTCCTGCTCTGCCATGAGGTCTAAAGACATTCTCTATACTTTCCACTAAGAATGCTCAAGTTTCTGCTGTAACTTTTAAATTCCTGAACCACCTGGGGTTAATTTTTTAAGATGGGTATAATATAGAGATATAATTTCATCTTTTTATAAATTATTAATATTTTTCTTTGAGCCATTCTCTTCAGAATGCATCCAACTTGAGGCCTCTTCAAATTCTATCCCTGGAAAAATTTCAGACTCCTATATGTAGCATGAGTTAGCCACAAGGCTGGTTTGTGGTAGTTAATTATTAGGTCAAGTCATACCTGAGAAAGGCAAGTTCATGAAAAATTCCTTTGGCATTCCCATTTGGATGACAAAGTTTATTTCTGGTTTAGTTTTATTTTGGAAGTATAGTCATTTGCAGTCTTAAACAGAATGCACATTGTTTCCTACACTTGGCAAGCTTTGAGTTTTAGTAACTGAATCTGTGTCAGCTTCAAAACAGAATTGCAAGGTTTTTAGGATTTAGCTGAATCTGCCTAGGTGAATCAGTTCCATCATTTTATACCTCTAAAGCTTGCTGATTTTACTCTGATTGGTGGGAGAGAGAGTATGACTTGAATACTGGCGCCAATATTTTCTAGTGGTGTGACTGAATACAAGTTATCTGAACTTTCTGCAGTTGCTTTCATTTTCTCTTGCTTAGTCCTGGAATGACCAGGGTTTGGCTTCCTGGACTGAGTGCTGCAGACTGTGAATCAGAATTGTGTTTTTATGTTTGGTCTGGCCATTGTCTGTATATTCAAACTCCTGGTCCCTGCTTTTGACCATTCTCTCATTTGCTGGAGGTAGGTGAATTCAGGGACAGCTCGTCTCCTTCCCAGAAAGCCCCTGAAGCTGACTTCTGCGCCTCTGAGAACCGAGACTCTCCAGGAGAACCATTTAGCATCAGTACACCCACGTGTGGACAGAGCTCCGCAGGCGGGAGGAACTGGGGCCTCCTGGCCCTTTTTAGGGCTGTGGGATGTGGAGGTCGCATGCCTATTGTAAACTTTATATCACGTGCTTCTGATTCTAATTTGGCTGCTCTTCTATCCTGTGTGGGCAGCTCAGACCGGAGGAGGCCAGGAAAGCCTTCGAGACGGAGGAAACTGAATCGTGTTGCCGAGGCACCCACTAAACCTCTGACCCTTTGCGGGGCGAGCCTGGCTGCGGGCTACAAGCCCCAAATCCAGCCGTACGGGCCCCCAGTAAGTCGGAAACAGGTGCTCCCGGGTCCCCGTTTTGCTTTGGGTTTCATTGTTTCTTTTTTTCTTTTTTTTCATTTATTTTTATTAGTTGGAGGCTAATTACTTTACAATATTGTAGTGGGTTTTGTCATACGTTGTTTCTTAATTCAAATCGATTCCCTTAGGACTCCCCGATGATCTGAGAGTTAAAAAAGGGCGCTTCTGTTCTGACGGGCTGAAGGGAAAGTGGTTTCCCTAGAGATTGGGGTCAAGGGCAGGAGAGAGGAGGTAAACTTGGCCTGGAGTCATCATGACCCGGCTTTAAAAACGGGTTCCTCATTTTACATACAGGTCCCAAGAACCCAGAGTGGGAGTGGAGTGCCACTCCCGGCTGTGGAATGAGGCTGTGTTTAACCTCGCCCCCCAACAGTGGCCAGTGGGCAACCCGGGGCCCTGAGGCCTCCCTGGGGCATGCGACCATTGCAGGGAAAGTCCACGTTGAGACCCGCTGGAGGCTCGTGACTGCTTCCGCTGAACCCGGGCCGTTCCTACATCACTATCAGGAACTTCTCCAGCTGACCTGTGGACGGAAACGCCATTTGGGAACTATGACTTGGCTGGCCCTGGCGACCCGCCTTGGCTCCCGAGAGCCCAGCCTTGCCCGAAGTAGTCCAGGACTCTCTTTAAACCGAGCCGCCTCACAGGCATGGGGTTCTGTCTGCATAGCCCGAGGGCTGGAAAACTGGACGTGAACCAGAAGAGTCTGGATCAGACATGGCCATCGGGCCTTCTCCACCTCCTTCACGCCGGGAGACCGGTTTAACCCTCTGCAGCTCTTCAGAGGAGGGAGGGTGGGAGAAACAGGGACACCAGGCTCAGGTGGGAACAAGACAAGCCGTTCCCTTAAATGTCTGTAATATTTTATAAGGGGCTGCCCAGGTAGCCGCAGTAGTGAAGAATTTGCCTGCTGATGCAGGAGATGTAAGAGATGCGGGTTCAATCCCTGGGAGATCCCCTAGAGGAGGAAATGGCATAACCCAGTCCAGTGTTCTTGCCTGGAAAATTCCATGGACAGAAGCAACTGGCGGGCTACATACAGTCCATGGAGTCGCAAGGAGACAGAGGCCTCTGAGTGAGCACACACACGAGGGTGGGAGTGGGGCAGAAGGACACACCCACTTCCCCCCTTCCATCTCACTTCGTGCTAGGTCTTCAGGGGTCTTGTAAAGGTGTTTCCCCCTGGCAGAGCGCTCAGGGTGGGGTGAGGGAGTAATCGTGAACTCTGGAAAGCTCCCAAGACCTCTCGGAAAGGCGAACAGGGCTGCAGTTCCAGGCCACAGCCCCAGTTTGTCTCCACCCTACCCGTCCTCGTCTTTGAACTCACGTCTGGAGCGAGCAGCCCTTTCCCACATTCCGGCGATGAGCAGTTGCCTCCTCCTGCAAAGGACAGTGGACTGAGCTTGTCTCTAGGGCAGCCGGAAAATCGAGATCCCGGCCAGGCCCAT